ACACACTGCCTCTAAGAAGGCCATCGTATGTTTCATTTCTCTACTGGTCCAGGTTCAGAAAGCTGTATCTCCTGTTTGGCACTCAGTCAGGCTAGAATGAAAGTGATTTGACACATTAATGAGTTTTCCTCTCTGCACAAGTCTAACTCAGGATGTTTGTATCACAATAAACTCCCAACAAGACCGTTTACCTCAGATTTAATTTGACGATGCTCAGAACTCCATCTCTTTAGTCTCTGCAGTGTTCTGCTCTGTGAGGTCTCACAGGAACTCATAACTGAGTAGATCCCCATTAAAGTGACTTGAGTTTGCTCCTTTTACCTACAGAAATGGGAGATGAGCCATTTCTACTGGACGTGTTGTACGTTTGTGTCGTCTGTTGGTTGTTCGATCACCTCCACTCTCCAGTCGACACCTCTGTCTCAGATTAGTGGACAGATGGTGGATGTGCATCTGTGTGCAAACAGCTGATGTTTTCTTATCAACAGCTCATAAGCTGAAAGAAAAACAAAATGAGCAGAAAGTCACATAAATAAACACACACTCACCCTGATGCTCGTTCATCAGTAATTGGTTTCATTCAGAGGATAAAAGCTGCTGATGATGAAACCTTAGAACTGACCCTTCATATTCTCATTGGTCTGACGTTAACAACCTTATTTTATCAGCTTTATCTACTGTAACCATTACAAGCTGATAAATAACATCCCATAGCTGCTTCTCCACCACTCAAACGATTAATCTCCTTCCTCTCTGTCTCTGAGTCAGACCGCTGTGCACCTCCAGTCATGCTGGAGGTTAAGTAGAGGTCATAGAAAAGACTTCATGTTTAATGTTTGCTTAATGGTTTAGCTGATGATCTAACCTTCTCTCACTAATGTGTTCAGCCTCCAGGGAGGAGCACAAACTGCCTGTTGTCTTCTGTTCTTGATTCTGACCTCAAGGTTTTGTTTTACTGTTGAACCTGAACCTTTATGATGCAGGTTTAATACAAAAGCAAATGTACAAAAGTATAATTTACAGAAAATTGTTTATGTTTGTTATCATTGCAGTATCAGAATGTGATAAATAAATCCTGTTATCTGTAGTAGAGCTGCTGCTCTGATCATGGAAGAGTTTTATCTAAATGGCCACATGCAGATAAAACTCTGTTATTATCTCATTAAAATAGTTTATTTACCATCACAGTCACATTCTTTATCTTCATCCAAGCTAAACAGTCACCATGTTTAATGTTAAAACAAACTAAAGTGGAGCTAAAGGATCAAAAGTCAAATCAGAAACTTTTTCTAATGACTGAACTCATCTCTGACTGGATGGAGGAGACGTTTCAAACCATTCTCATGAGTTCATTAGCTCATCGTCACTTTTTACTAGAGACTATTTAACCTCTTGACCCTCCTTAAACTAAACCCCACATCAGCCGACGTCAGTGTGATCATGAAATCAAATGATTCTCTGTGTGTGTGTGTGTGTGTGTGTGTGTGTGTGTGTGTGTGTGTGTGTGTGTGTGTGTGTGTGTGTGTGTGTGTGTGTGTGTGTGTGTGTGTGTGTTTCCAGGGACGTCGGCCAGGACACTTCTCCTTCCTGGATCCCTTCTCCCCTGGCGTCTGGCTCTTCATGCTCCTGGCCTACTTGGCTGTCAGCTGCATCCTCTTTCTAGTGGCGAGGTAAAGAGCTCAATCACCTCAGATGAGAAAGAAAAACGTTCAAAAGATGAACAAAAGGTTGTGTTCAGAGATTAGACACACAAAAAGAGTTGCAGGGGGATACACCGAGCAGGAAGCAGGTGTCTGGTCTCGCTCTCTCAAGTTTCTGTGGTTGATCGCCCCATCATGCTGGAAGATTTTCTGTCGTCAGCGGCCAGAACCGCACTGCCGCCTGCTGGTCAGGGATGGGACTGAATCTGAACTTCATCTTGATAGTTTTGTACATTTCTGTTTCAGTTCAGATCAGAAGCTCTTGTTGTTTAATAAAACTAGCAGATTGATGAATGTCTCAGTCCTGCTCATAAATTATTTTTCACATAATGTTACTATGTTTCCAGTAGAAGCAACAGAAAACACAAACACACTGCTGATGCCATTTAAATTCAGAGTGAAAACAAGGTTTATTTGTCTCTCTGGAGAGCCAAGGTGACTTTGTGCTGACTTCATTGTTGTAGTTGTTTCTCTTTTTGTTATTCATTCATTCCTCTCTCTCCATCTCTTGGGTTTTCACTCATGTTGCTTCATTCCTCCTGACTCTCTCTGTTTATATAACCTCTGCTGTCTCCTCCTACCCAGACTGACACCTTACGAGTGGTACAACCCCCATCCTTGTCTAAAGGGACGCTGCAACCTGCTGATCAACCAGTACTCACTTGGCAACAGTTTCTGATTCCCAGTTGGAGGATTCATGCAGCAGGGATCCACCATCGCTCCCAGAGCTCTGTCTACACGCTGTGTCAGTGGAGTGTGGTCAGTACTGGGACCAGTTGTCAGCATGACTGTTCTCACATTCAGCTCAGTTCTGTCTTCATTTTGCTTCATTATAAACACGTTTCATCTCTGGTTTTTACTGTTCTGCTTTTCAAACATGATCTGATCTCAACATGTCTGAGCCCCACAAACTACTTAAATCTCACATGGATCAGGCCCAAATGTCCCAAACAGGCTACTGTAATTTATCAACATCTCTTCAACCTTCCAAGTGTTGAAGGTTGAAGAGGAGCTGATCCAGAACAGTTTCCTGTTTGCTTCAGTCGAAACATCCTGACACAGCTGACTAAAGGCACTTTATGTTCTTTATGATGGAGGATGAGAAAGCTTGAGATCACAATATTGTCATCGTCCTCCATTTAACCCTTTCATTCATCCATTCACCGTGTCATCACTGAAACTTCTGCCATGTCTCCTCTCAGGTGTGCGATCGTTCTAATTGTTAGGTGTTCATTTTGGCACAACACACTAATCTGTCACTTCCAACTGTGAAATATCTCAAAGCTCAGGACTAACTTCTATAAAGGAGCCAGAGATGATAATACATGCTTTTATCTCCTCCCACTTAGACTACTGTAACAGCATTTTTACACGACGTAAAAGCGTGAAAGACCTTCTACTTGTCCAGTTTGTACAAAATTCAGTAGCCAGACTTTAAAAAAGTGCACCATCAATGTTTTAGCAACTCTACACTGGCTCCCAGTCTTCTTTAGGACTCAGTACAAGATCTTGGTCGTTACATAGCGTTACATGGTCACGCGCCCGATTATGTTGTCGATTTGCTGACTCTCCACAATCCAGGATGCTCCCTCAGATCCTCAGACCAATGGCTACTGGCAGTGCCCCGAACTAGATTTAGGAGCAGAGGTGACTGGGCCTTTCAGGCAGTGGCGCTGACCCTGTGATCTCTAACTACTATTGAGTCTGAGCTGAAAACATCTCTTTGCTCAGGCATTTTACTTATTTTATTTGACCATGTAGTTTTTATTGATTTTAATTTTTGTAAAGCTTGATTTTTGTTGTTATGCTTTACAGGTATGTGTTTTACTGCTCTTACATTAGATTTTATGATGCATCAATTTTACCTTACAAAGCTTTCTTTATGCTGATAGTCTGCATCATTATTTTGTGGTGTAAAGCACTTTGTGAATAAACAGTACCATTACTATTACTAATCCTCCTGTTAACACAATCATCCTTCATACAGCACGCCAAACGTTTGTGTTCAGAGTAACTGCCATTTCCTTTATGCTGTCATCACACACAGGTGGGCCTTTACGTTAATCATCATCTCTTCGTACACGGCCAACCTGGCTGCCTTTCTGACAGTTCAGAGGATGGAGGTTCCCATAGAGTCGGTGGACGACCTGGCAGATCAGACGGCGATAGAGTACGGCACCATGCACGGAGGGTCCACCATGACTTTCTTCATGGTGAGAGCAAACACACCTCACTTCTCTCATGTGAGCCAATTTCAGCTCAGATCATGTGATCAGTCACCAGTAATGTCATCCTCATCATGTTTTATGTGTTTACCACCTGCTGCTCACACAACCAGACAATAAGCACTCCAGCCTCGTTTATATTCTAGGTATTTGACCTCAGAGAGGAACAGATAAAGATGAGGAAAATCCGAGTGTTAGAGGAGAGAGGGACATTGAAGGATGGGATCGGAGAACAGATAAAAGACCTGTACTCTTTGATGCTTTAACATCCGCTGGACCTTGAATAGAGCAGAGGAGACTGGTTAAGAGGAAATGTAAGACAGGAGGTGATATGATTTGAAGTTTCTGCTCTGAAATCTGTAGCTGCTCAAATGGAAAAAAAGGTCTGTAAAAGAAAACTGCGATAAAGAAGATGCATTCAGGTAAATCAGTTTGAATCAAACCCATCAGTCACAGAAAGGAAAATGGTCCAAAAAGTGACAATTCAAGAGCTTTTCTGCAAATCTAAGCTTCTTTTTCTGGCCTGTGATGTAAAAGGAAATTAGAAATATTGTTTCTATTGGATGTTTAACTGTTTTTGTCACTTCTCAGTTTAAACATCCAGGTTTACCTTTACTTTAATCTCAGCTTGTTTCAGTCTGCAGAGGATGGGAAATAAACCAAAAACCAAGATTGTTTTGAAATCCTTTTTTATTTCAAAGGAAACAATTCTGCTTTTTTACCGAGGATGCTCCACGTTGAATATGGGGCCAATAAAAAAAAACTACAAAATTAACCTAAATTCTTTGATCTTATATCTGCAGTTAAACCAGATTTTGTAGACTCAAATCTGGACGTACAGATACAAAAATGTTAGCCATATCTTTTTCATTTTATCACTGAAAATGCTGAATGAGATGACAGCAGCAGCACACATTTATTTGAAACCTCAAATCTTTATGTAATACTTAACATCAGTGTGCAGTGCTCTGATCTCCAGCCCCCAGTGTTTAGAAATTAAACACCCAGGCAGACTCTTACAGAGAACATGTGACTTATGGAGCATGTTCATATTAAATAATTCAAAAGTGTGACTGATTGAAACAGTCTCCTTGGAAAAGCCATATGGTCTCAGCACAGCACAGATGGTTTGGTTGTAAATTATAGGAGAAAAACTGGTATGGCATATGTTACAAGTCATAATAAGAATACTTGTGTTCTACAGATTTTAGCATCGCCTCATTTTACTTGTTGGGAATAAAATTTAAAAGCAACAAAGTGTTAACTGCTTTATTTTCTTATTTTCACCACAACACAAACTGTTATCAGTATAAGAACCACATCTAGATCAGAGTTAAGGTACCTCAAAATCTGGACTCCAAACAGAG